AGAGAGAGAGAGAGAGAGAGAGAGAGAGAGAGAGGGAGAGGGGAGGGGGGAGAGGGAGAGGGAGAGAGGGAGAGAGGGAGGGAGGCCACACGGACCTCACCACAGACCTCCACCCGGATGGTGCGCCGTGCATGCGCCTGTGCAACGCGCCACGTCGCCACGCTGCGGCCCGCGCGCGACCGCCTATTCTGCCGGGTGTTGATCTCACACTCGCCTCGCGCGGCCACGGGAGAGAGTCGGTCGCGCCAGCTATTTCGTTGCACGTTGGAGACTGCTCGAATTGTTCATAGAGAATATTCAAGAGAACAAGTAGGTGCGGTGGTGTGTGTGTGTTGCGACTGCGACAACCGGTACCGGACAAAAAACGAACGCGCTCTCAAAAACGACCGCATATATGTCTTATGTGTGTAGGGGAAGGAAGGTGAAGTCCTGAAGAACCGAGTCAGGCTCGGACTGGACACCAACGCGGTACATGGGGTATGGGTGGACGCGAGAGAGAAGACGAACTCGCGGCTATCTAACACTCGGGAAAAAGAAATTGCCTGCCGCGCGATAAAAGGCACGATTGCTGACACGCCCTAGCGGCTCACACGCCCATGCACCATGGGCTGCGGCGAGAGCAAACCGGACGAGCTGGAAGAGGAGCAGAGAGAGCAGCTCGCGCAGCCGCACAGGAGAGGCAGCTGATGCCGGAGAAGCAGCTGACGTCGGAGAAGCAGCCGGTCAGCAAGCAAGATTTTGACGACGATGCCGAGGATGAGGAGAAGGGCTATGCTGCCAGCAAGCCAGCATCTCCCTCCGCCGCTGACCGCAAGGGCATCCCGCTGCTGGCGGCCCTCGACGACCCTCTGGTCGCCGTCCTCCGCTCGGGCGCCATCAAGCTGCTCCGCGCCGAATTCCTGCGCGCCGACGGCTCCGAGGCGATGCTGCCCGAGCTCCTCCGCCGGCAAGAGCTGGAGCGGATGGAGGAGGAGCGGGGCATGCAAATATTTGATCGAGTAATTTGGCGACACGATCTGGAGAACGGACATTAGTGACGAATGTCGAGGTGTGCGGGTTGGTGCTGCCTTCGTCCAGCCAAAAGCCTTGCGCACGATGGCCTGCCTTTGGAGGAATGCGCGTGGCGAGCAAAAACTTTGGAATCAAGCGCCTTCGCTGCCTCCGATCCCGTGAGCATGCCCGGGACTTTGGCCGCCAGCGGCACCACCAGATAGTATGGCTCTGGCATTGGCCCGCATGGTGCATGCAGTAAGAGCATTTGCATCTTCGAGCGAGGCCCCCAAAAGGTGGCAGCATCATGGAACATTGGGTAGCTGTTACGGAGGCGAAGAAGGAGCTCGAGGCTGGGCTCGCTCTGTGCGAGCAGGTCAAGGCAGAGCAGATTGACGAGTTGGACCTCACGCTGGAGGGCGAGCCTTGCCCCGACCAGGTAGCAGTCCGTGCAGCTGCCGACCCGCCGGTGGCCTATGAGGAGTACCGTGCCGCGATCGCTCTGCAGCGGTGCGCGTTGGTGAAGGCTGAGGCGGTGACACGCTCGGCGCTCGGCCGCGCGTACTTCAGCATGGGCCTCACGACTGTCGCCGTGTTGCAGCTTGAGCGCGCAGTGGCCTTGCGTCGCGAGAGCCTCAAGCTGCGCAGCGTCATCGGCACGCGCGAGCCCAATCACGTGTCGTGCCTCGCCGAGGCACACCGTCAGATCGCCTCGACGCTGATCAACTTTGGCGGCGTGCGAGCCGCCGTTTCGGAGTACTACCGCGCCGGCGGAGAGAAGGCGGCGCAGACGCGCGCGGTGTTGGGGGAGGCGCTGACATTTGCACGCATGAGCGGCGACATTGGTGCCGAACAAGGCGCCCTCACGCAGTTGGTCAGCTTCCAAGATCCGAGTGCACCAGCGGACGCCGCGACGGCTCTCAAGGATCTGCTCGCGCGCACCGGCCGCGACGTCGACCCGTGCTGCATCGTGTGCTATGAAGAGCTCGGCGACACCAGCCTGCACGCGCTCAACTGCGGGCACGTGATGCACAAGGAGTGCGTAGAAAACTGGCGACAGCATTCAAACTGGTGCCCGCAGTGTAAAAGGGGAATGTCCGGATAGCGTGTACTGCCTTCTCTTTCGTGTTTGTCTTTTTAGTTTTTACTGAACAGTAAAGAGCTGGAGTACACGATACACTCGCGATGCGTACTTCACCGCGAGCTCAGCGCGCCCCCGCACAAGCTTCTGCGCTTTCGAGCTGGTCGCCGAGTGGATCCACGCGACGGAGCTCTGTGCGGAGAGCGCGCGCATCCGCGAGTCCGGGGATCTTCGAGGCGTCATAGACGTCAAGCGGCATGCGCGACACCTCAGCCACGTACCGCGGTCCGTGGACGGCGAGCACACGGCTGAGCGCGCCGCTCGCGAGGCTGCCAGTCACGTTTGCAATCTCGAGCAGCGTGTGCTCGTAAGCGGTGCCGTTTGGGCCCCACACTAGCGCGGGCCAAGCGTCGCGTAAGTTGGCGAGCAAAGAAGGCCTAGCGCCCTCATAGCACGCGAGGAAGGCTGGCAGGTTGGCGAGCTTCGCGAGCCGCGCGCGGTCGTGCGCCGAATCTTGAAATAGCAGCATCAGGCGCTCGTGCCGCCACACGCGGAAGAGTGGCGGTGCAACCCTCATGTTCGTCCACAGCGGCACACAGCCGCGCAACACAGAGGAGGTGAGGCGCATATCAAAGCCTACGCCGCCCGCGACGAGGCAATACTTGCTGCGAGCCTGCGCGTCCCACGGTACGGCGCGGGACAAGCTAGGAGCGATGAGCATTCGCGGCTTGCCGTGCCAATATCGGTAAAACCACTGGCGCATGCCGCCAGAGTAGCAGCCACTGCATGCGCGCCGATCCCTCGCTTGCGCGGCCAGCAGCGTCTGCAGGCTGTCGGTGCACGTGCGGTTGCACTGCGGCCCCTCGCCACCCACTTTACCAACAAAGAAGACGTCGTACAGATCCTTGGACTGCGCGTCGAAGACCGTGGACGTGGCTGCGGCTGCGCGGTTGGGCAGAGGCTGTGGCGCCGCTAGCTTGGACCGTGTCGTCGAGTGCGGCATCGGCAGCTCCTCCGGAGGCAGCGCGTGAAAGTCGTCAATTCCCATCGAGGCGGTCGGGTCGTTTGGTGGCACGCACACGTCGCGCCGCGGATCGAAGGCACCATTTGGCGGGCGGTGCGTGTCGGCAGGCGGTCGTGGGCAATGTGGCTGCGACGGCGCGCGCGGCACGTCGCTCGGGAGCGTGGTGAGGAGCACCACCCAGTCAAAGCTTCGTCCCGCCCAGCGCTCGGCTGTTGCGACGTCCATGCTGAGCCCACTGTCGATGGCGAGGAGCATCCTCGCGCCCGCGTCGACGAGGACTCCGGAATAGACATCCCTGGCGAGGTGAGCGTAAAAGTAGGACTGCGCCCAGTAGACGGCGCGCTTGTCGAGCAGCGCACCGCTGCCAAAGTTGACCACACCACGGCGCACCGCCGCATGCCGTCCCGCCTGCTCGTACAGCGCGGCGGCGGGCACACTCTCGAGCAGTTGAATGCGCAGCTCAGCATCAAGCGGATGTCGGCGCGCCTCCAGCCGTGTCCGCCTGCGGCAGTTTGCGCCAATCGTACCGGCGTCACACTCACAAAAGTGGCCGCGGCACGTGCCTCTGCCCGAGCAGTTGGTGATGCAGTTGGTGGTGCTCACGTGCGTCTCCTCCGACAACAATTGCATTCGCGTGCGGGTGGACACCGGCTCGTCCAGGCTAGCGCGCAGCCGTTCCGTGAAATTGGCACCGACCTCGCTATACATTGCACCCTGCGCGCACTGCGGCAGAGCGCGGAGTGCAATTCGCTGAGAAAAGCTGGTGCCGCTTGCGGTAGAGATGAGCTCATGAATGCGCTCGATGTACGATGCGCATGCCGCAAGGCAGGCGCACGTGATCTGTCGCTCGTCGAGCAATGCGAGCAGATCGCAGGTCCACGACGCGCTGTGCCAACCAAAGCGGAACGTCCGCACTGATATTGTCTTCGCAACATTGCCTTGAGCATGCAAAACAGCATCAGCTGCTTGCCGTTCTGCCGAACACGAAGCGAGGGCATCGATGTCGCAGCGCGCGCCTTCGTAGCCATATGCACATGCGCAGCTGCTGCTGCCGTCGGGCCGCGCGAAGGCGTGGCCGTGGCCGCAAGCGACCATCTTTTCAGCGGCCGATCAACGCGTGTGTGTGGCGGGCCCAACCCAAGCAGGACGTTTGTTTGGGACGCGTACTGTCCACTATGAAAGTGTGAACAGGTGGGAGCAGCAGCTTCTGACCACGGCGCCGCAGGCGCCTGTTGATAGGTCCAGGTGATAGCCCTGGATGGGCAATGCATACGCCTCACTGGGCCTTAGATCGCCCGACCGCGTCCCGGTGCTCTGCCGTCGGATTTGTGACTCCGCCGCACCGCGCCGCGGCCGGGGGCCCTCCGGAGGCCGACCGAGGATGGCCGTGGCGGACCGGGACGAGCTCTGGGAGGTTCAGTGTCAGTGTATATATTGTAGAAACTGATCATGTCCACAATATCTCTCAGTCTAGCTAAGCCTGGGAAGGCGATGCCGGGGCCGTACAGCAGCTTGATGGTGCTTCGCCGGCGTGCGTCCCGGAGCGGTCCCGGACGGGCGGTCCGGGGGAGGAAATCGAGGATCAGCGCCGACGGCGCTCTGATTCGACTTTTAACTTCAAACAAAGACAGTGGCACGCGCCACAGCGCGGTGCGTGCCACTGTCAGGAGCGGATCCGTCAGTTAGTCGTGTTCACGCCGGGATCCTGATAATCACAACTTAGGCCTGGTAGTATCACAACCGCCCCCCAACCAAGGCTCCTCCTTTTCATGCAGTCATCGTTGCTGGACACCGAGCCGTCTGACACCGGCCTCGACGAGGCCAGCCAGCGAAGCCCTGGCGGCTCGACGAGCCTGCTGGCGGGCTCCATCCTGCCTGGCCCTGCGCTGCTGCTCTTCTTGCACCTGCCGAAAACGGGCGGCTCCTCCGCGGTCAGCATCGTAAGCTCGTTGCCTGGTTGGAGGCGGCATTGCCCTCACTGGCATGGCCACCGGTATGGCGGGCTCATTGTGAGCGCGCTGGCTGAGCCGCTCGGCCTCTCCGTCGGCACCAGGCCAGCGAACTCGACCCTCTTCGCTTGGCGACAGAGTCGCGTGCTGGTCGAGTTCCACCTACCTGAAGAGTTTCGCTTGTTCCAGCGCAAATTCCGTCCTCGGCTCGACGCCCTCGCGTCGGTGTACCGCCGCGCTGGCGGCCACTTCTTCGCGGCAACCTTCGTGCGTGAGCCACTCGCGCAGACGCGCTCACACTTTGCGTACTTCCACGTGTATGGGGGGGCCTTTGTGAGGCCGAAGACGCCACCCACCTGGCGGACGAACGCGAGCGCACAGATCGCGGGCTTTGCGCGCTGGCTCGCGAGCGAGCCGGCCGACCCGCAGACCAAGCTGCTCGCACACGGGGCGCCCGCCGCCGCCGGCGGCGGAGACGATGTCGGCACGAGAGCGCAAGCGACGCTCGGCGCACTCGGCGGCGTCGGCATCTCGGAGTCCTTCGAGCGGTCAATGCAGAGCCTCCTCACTCGGATCGGCGTCTTGCCGGCCTGCCACCTCACGCAGCTCAACCTCTCGGCTGCGGTGGCCGCTTGTGCGAACGGCGCGAGGCACCGCCACTTGCTGGCGGACCTACCCGCCGACGTGCGCGCGCTGCTCGGGAACCGAACCCGCGCGGCGAGCGAATACTACGCGCTGCACGCGTCCGCCCGGAATGCGCTGCTCGCATTGCCCGCGGCCCCGGCGGCGCCAGTCCCGGAGGTGACTGCCTCTCCCACCTGCCGCCAAGACGCGTCGCCCTTCCGCGTGGCCACCAAATGCAACTACTGAACGAGCTGTTAGTGTGGGCAAGCAGCTTTGCACCGGCAAAGCCTGCAGCATGGAGGAGGAGGAGGTGCTGTCACTCGGCGGTGCGGCGCCGGTGCGGCGCCGGTGCGGCGGGCGGCGAGGGCTGCTCAGGGCGAAGCCGATGCACGCGCGCGCACCAGGGACGGCGGGGTGGAAGTGCTCGGCCCGGAGGGTGCTGCGCGGCGCCGCATGAGAGCACACAGCCGCGCGCGGCCGACTTGCTTCGAAGTCAATCTGGAAGATCTCGCGCGTGATGATTGCCTTTCCGCGCCACCATGCCAGCCGAGAGGGCGATGGCGACGGCGGGATGATAGCTGCAACATACCTACACTTGGCCGCGCTCATGCGCCGACGAAAACTTTCAGTGTGTGTGGCATCTCATGTCAAGGCGCGCCTCTCCCTCCCACAGCGTCTGTATCGCACTCTGGCCTTACCGACTTCCGCCTCTCCCGCGCCACAGAACTGCCTCCGAGAGGTCCGCTCGAGATGGACAAGCCGCTCGTCCTCGTCCAAGAGAAGCGGACCCGGAAAAGGGCGGCGGGCCGCGCCTGCGCGCTCGGTGTGTATGTAACGAAGGCGCAGATAGACCGCCGGGCCGAGTCAACTCCTTAACGACCAAAAGAAACTGTGACTTCCACACCAGCCTAGTCGCGGGTATATCTTCGAAAGAAGGGCGAGGAGGACGAGCGGCCCGCACAGACCGCGAGCAGACAGCGCCTGCTGGCCATTTCGAGACATTCGCCAAGAACGCTAGCTACATGGGAGGGCTTCGTGAAGGATGGATTGAAAAACATTCGAACAAAGAAGAGGCGACGGGAGGAACCGGCGGAGGACGCAGTGACGTGACACACACACACACACACACACACACACACACACACACACACACACACACACACACACACACACACACACACACACACACACACACACACACACACACACACACACACACACACACACACACACACACACACACACACACACACACCGCTCACCCACGCGCACTGGGCCTTGCACTTTGAATGCCGTGGGGCTCCTGTCGTCAGACGTGGAGACGCGAGGGTTGCCCCCCCTTGCCCCACCACCTCGTGTGTGTGGAGAAGTTTACCTAGTATTGCGAGTGAGTATTCTTGATACGAAACCACGACGACACACACCCCAGTCGACTCGCATCGGTTGCCTCCCCTCTCTCTCGGTCTCGCCGCAGCCTCTCTGCTACGCGCTAGCAGGAGAGCGATAAAATCGACTCCAGCCACCATCCCCGTCATCCAGATAGATCCACCGAGCCTCCTCGCTCCTGTCTGTATGGCGCGCCCGCGGGCGCCACGACAAGCGAGGGATTCAAGTGTGAGCGATGACCGGCATCGGGAGGGTCCGCCTAAGAGGAAGTATGCATGTACTTTGTGCGTGGAGTGTCTTCCCCTTTTGCGCAGCAATACCTTAAACTTTTAGGCCCTCCAAATTCGGGTCGGAGCGTAGCGGAGTGGGCCCCGAGTTTGAAAAAGGGCGACCGACGCTTGCGTCCTAGCTCCAACATCGCCTCCCCGGGGCAGAGGGGCCCCCGGAGGGATGCACAACCGCTCCACGCCACGCCGCTCGCGGCGGTCCTATTCCCAGCTCCGCTGAGGGCCCACGTTTTTGTGCCGCCGAATTTCGACCGACCGACGGCCACCACGGTACCGAGGCTACCGAGGCTACTCTCGTCTGTTCTCCTGCCACACGATGGGCCGCGACGGCGTCCGCGATCGCTACTTTAGCCGGCGTGCTACTTTCACCGAGCTGCTGTGTTACAGCGTGGTTGCGGTCGCCGTCGTCGCCTACAGCGCAGTCGCAATCGCAAGCGAGGTTGGTCTCATCGCGCCGGCTTGCCACCTCCCGCCACGCTCGCAGCCGCTAAAGCATGGCAACCCGGACTTCGACGACGACCCGTGTTACTCCGTGCGCTACTGGTCGCTCCTCGGCTTCACAAAGTGGGAATGCGGCATCTGCGCACGGATCCTCTGCTCCATCGCCATCGGCACCGCCATCGGCTGGGAGCGCGCTGTCCACGGGCACACGGCGACGGGCATGCGCACGATGTCCGTGCTGTGCCTCGGCGCGTGCTGCTTCTCCATCTGCTCCTCCTTCTCCTTCGTCGACGGCCCGATGTCGTGGGACGCCTCCCGCTCCTCCGCGGCCATCCCGACCGGGGTCGGCTTTCTCGGCGGCGCGACGATCTGGAAGGGCAAGACGGCCTCGGGGAGGGAGGAAATACACGGCCTGACCACCGCCATCCTCGTCTGGACGACCGCCGCCATCGGCAATGCGGTCGGCGGCGCGCTCTACGTGCCCGCCATCTTCGCTGCGGCGGCCTCAGTCGTCGTCCTCAACTTTGTGCCTGGCGCGGCCGGCATCGCCGCGGTCGGCCCGCTCTCGGCCGCCTCGCTTGCGAGGGACGACCTGCGGCGCGGCTCGACCGCGAGGATCGTCGCCGGCCACAATACGCTCCTCACCATGCTCGCCATCAACCTGATTGGCTGCAGCGCGTGCGTCTACGCGCTGCTCGCGCTCGCCGCGCCGCACCTCGCCCCCCCGTGCTCCGAGCCCTTGGGCTCGCTCAAGCCGTACTCGAACCCGATCTACGCGGCCGAGTACGACCCGTGCCAGAACGACCGCCACGCCGTCCTCGGCGGGCTGACGACAATGGAGGCCGACGCGTGCGTGCGCCTCACCGTGGCCGTCCTCCTCGGCGCCATCATCGGCCATGAGCGGAGGCGAAGCGAGCGCGGAGTCGGCATCCAGACGATGGCCATCACGTGCCTCGCCTCGGCCCTGTACACTTGGGGCGGCATGTTTTGCGAGGGCACCGGCCCGTCAAAGTGGGACACGTCTCGCGTCGCCGCCGCCGTGGTGTCCGGCGTGAGCTTCATCGGAGGCGCAGTCATCGTCAAGGGGAGCGACAAGAACCCGCACGTCCACGGCCTGACCACCGCCACTTCGGTGTGGCTCTCGGCTGCGCTCGGGCTCATGGCGGGCGGCGCCCTCTACCCGGTCGCATTCTTCGCCGCCTTCACTGCGGTCTTTTACCTGCGCTTTGGCCCCAGCACCCACCAAGGGGGCGGGTCCGAGCCAAACGGCCTGGACGGCCAGCCCAACGGCGGCGCGGATGGGCTCACGTCCTGAACTGAGGGGTGGCCCCGCCTACCGGTAGACCGTAATGAACCTACGACACCAGTCTACCGCGTACCGGTAGACTTGGTAGACCGCGGTAGACATAAAGACTCGTCTACCCCTTTTTCAGCCGCCCGATTTCCATATTCCCCTCGTAGGGGGTGTGGTTTTCGCGGCCGCTTGCCAAATTCTCCTCGTGGTTTTGGTTTCGCGGCCATTGCATGTTCCCCGCAGGATTTTTGGTTTTCGCGGCCCTGTCGTTCTCCAGGCTAGTTCCATTTCAAGATGACACGCTAATCTTGAAAACGCGTCCAACGGAGCTCCGTGTTGCTCCCAGCGCCCTCCCCCGCGCTCCCTGCGGCCATGGCCGATGCTCCTAGTATGAGGGGTCATCTGGCTACCGCGAGCGCGACCCAACTCGTCGACATCGTCCGATGATGGTGCCGCAAAGTCAGCCTTCGGAGGCTATCGTGGGGTCGAGCCGGCAGTAGCCGTGACATGTGGTTCCACCACCCCTCGCAGGCTTTGCCTCTGACCGCCACCGTTCCCAGGCTACCTAATGGGATGGAAAGGAAGGCTGGGCGAGCGTATAGAAGCGTGCTCGACCTCGTCGTGGCAACCTGCACGGCAGCGCTGGTAGGCGCGATGAGCGTCGTGCCACCTGACCCGCAGCGGAGGTGACGACATGAGCAGTCAGCGGCGGCCAGTCTACCGAGGCGTCGTTCGCCCTTCGTGCGCCTTGTCGGTCTCTGCCCGGGTCTCCCTCTCTTTCCGGGCCTCTCATTCCCTGCGAGCGATTTGACACATGACTCATTAGGGCGTCTCTCTGCCGGGCCTCCCCGCTCCAGAGGACCTCCCCATGCACGGCCAGCAAGACGGCGCGTCCACGCCACCACGTGCAAGGGACAACACAACAGGCAACAGCCAGAGCCACACACTCTGTGTCGGTACAACCCCATCCATAGGGTACACAACCATCAACCTTTTGCCGGTAAACACCTAAACAGAGCAACACTCTAAGACTACTGCAGAGCTCACGATCCTCGAACCCCGGACATGACCACACGTGCTGCGTGCGAAACGTTATTCGTGCGAGGGTGATCGGGAACCCACACGGCGATATGAATCAAAAGTGATATGTGTCGCAGCACGCAAAACTAACGGCAGCCACGCAACGCTGCTTCCCACGTGCTCTCGTTCGCGACGCTTCGTCGGCTGCGAGCACTCACGCCACGGCCTGCGCGCCTGCTCATACCACCCCAATGCTCCAATTCGGCCCGCGTCAGATTGAGCCGCACCCAAGCTTCCCGCAGCTGCGTGCAGCTGAGCTGGAGCTCGAATCCGCCCCGCGCGATGTCGGTGCCTGGCCGTGCCGGTGTGAGCCGGCGGTCCTTGCAGAAGAGGGTGAAACAGCGTGAAGCGTTCGCAGCGAACACGGGGTGGTTGCAGCCTTGCAGCTCATAGCGAACCATCACGCGATTCATATGAAAAAATTCCTGCTGCGGACGCACAATCTGCATCTCTTGCTTTTTAGGGAAGGTTCGGAGTAGCGCGAGTGCCAAGATCGCGTGCACGTCGCACTTCCCGAGCAATCGCGAGAGCTTGGCCAGCCCCCGGGCAAAAGCTCGAGCCAGAGACAGCAGCGCGCTGGCTCGCCCAAGGAGCATGCCATCATCCACACGCGGCGCCATATGTTGAGCCCAGTCAGGCCTGCCGCTCGCTGTGCGCACAAACGAAGGTGCAAAACTCGTGACAAACTTCATGACCCCAACGTGAACTAGCGCGCCGTCCCGCAACGACAGGTCCAAACGCGGCACAATCGGTGTGGCCTGGCAAGGACATGCATCGAAGCGAGTGACCAGGACAGCGGTGAATGTGAGACGCCGCGTCAATTCGAAAACTCGCACGAGCCGCAATACGGCCATCCGGCTCCGCCACTGGCTCGAAAAGGCGTGGTGAGCCTCCACTGGGCACAACGACCCGTTAGGCGGCAGTATGAGCGGCTGCGCCTCGAAGATGGCTGCGGCGGGGCGGAGAGCGCTGCGAACCGCCGAATCGTGCGGCGTGCTCCACGCGTGCACAAAAACAGTGATGCGCTCCACCGCGTTCAGCTCGGCATGCTCGAGCAGCACACGCCTCCAGCAGTCGGCGGCGATATTGAACAGGTCGCCGCTGACGCTGCTCATGTTGCCGACTTTCCCGCGGAAGCTGCCTAGCCCGCCAGCGAAGGCGAGAGCGTAGTTGCTGCTGCCCCGCAGGATGCAAGCCACGTCCGCTCGTGATTCGCAGACCCGACCCGTGCGCAAAATAGCGGGCATGCAGCACTGGGGTGCCCCGCCAGGGCGACTGGAGCAGCCGCGTCCGCCGCACAGCCCGCAAGTAGCGTTGCAGCAGACCTGGCGGCTTGGGTGCAGGACGCCGGCCAAGCAGTCGGCGAATCGACGAGAGGAGGCCGTGTGCTCCACGGGCCTGATGGTGAGGTTGAGACGGCGGGAGATGACCAGGCGGTGCGCCTCAGCCGACGGCGAGAAGGACGAAAACATCTCGGGCGCCGGGTCGAGGCTGGGGAGCTCGGTACGTGCGAGTTGGCGCGAGTTGGCGCCGATGCGTTGTTGGGCCGCCAAACTGTCACGCGCAAGTTTGTCTCCTCCGAGGCCGCCAGGCTGCACGAACACCGACCCCGCTCCGCGCACGAGAGTGTGTGGGCAGCCTGCCATTGAATCTCCCCGCCCCCCCGCCGCTGTGGCGTATAGGCTGCCCGCGACGCTGGTTCACCGATCCGAGTGTGAACAGAGTGCCCCTCACCGGGGCGTGGCTGTGGCGTAGGCTGCACGACGCGACGCTGGACGAAGCCATCATGTCCAAGGCGAAGCTCTCCGGCGCCGTCCTCTCGGACGCCAGCCTTAAGCGCGTCAACTGCGGCCAGTGCGAGCTCACCTTTTGTGTGTGTGGAGACGTTTGCCTTACCTTACCTTACCTTTTTTCCCACGACCACCTGAGATCCCAAATCTCAGCCCTGCGGCAATTATGACAGTGCGTTCGAGTCTTCGAGCGTAGGCCAGGCGCCCTCAGCAGGCCCGCCGTCAGCCGCTGCAGCCTCCTCGGCCGTCTTGTCGGCGCCGTCGTCGTGGCAGAGGTCGCAGGCGGGCGAGGCGTCGGCGCTAGCCGGGCAGCATGCGCAGCCCCCGCCGAATGCCTTGAGAGGCGAGCCGGCGCCGGAGAGCGTCGGCCGGACGCCGGGTGGGATGCCGGCTGGCGCACCGCCGCAGCCCTCGTCGAGCTCCATCGCCTCCGGTGCTGCACCCTCCGGGTCCGCCAGCGCCGCATACCGCCCAGAGGCCGCGTGCGGGGGGGGCGGGGGGGCGCCGGGCTCGGTCGACCCGGCGTCGACCCGACCGACTCGCCCGCCTCGCTCGCTCCGCCGGCCCCGCCTGCCTCGACCGCCTCGCGCGCCACCCATAATACAATACGTATTAATACAACAATACAATACAATACGTATAATACACTATACAGCTCAGTCTCGCTCGTATTGTGCAACCCTGGGGGAGCTCCCTCTCTCCCCACCCCGAGGACCTCTGCCCAAGCTGATGGTGCCCAGCCTAGGGGCCGGGGCCTCAGGGGCTGTAGAGCCACACCTAGGAGAGGGGGTAGCTCACACCTTGTGGGCCGCACTGACCCTTCTCCCACCGTGCCCTTGCCCGCCCCTCTGACCGCCTCCCGAGAGGCCCGACTTTGAGGGGCTGGTGAGAGCCCCCACCGTTGCGCCCTCACCTCACGCTGACATATCCTTTGGGAATGCCCATGGGCTCTAGGGACCTGGGGGCAGCTTTGCCCGCGGGTGCCATGCTGGGCTTTGGTAGCAATTCTCTCAGATTCTCCGGAGAGGCCGGAAAAGTGGCTAAGGCGGCCTCCGCTCAAGGAACGTTGGGATTTTCTGGTGACTCAGGAAGCTAAGGTCTGCGCCGAGTAAAAATCGGTTCCGTGTAGGGCCCTGTGTACGTCGTTTGTTTCTTTTTTCGAATGTACGGAAATAAAGAAGAAGAAACGGACACGGGCTGGTACTCGCCCAGTGCCCTCTAAACTCGGGGGACGGCCGCGCGGCGCGCGATAGCCGATACTGCCTGAGCGCTGAGGTGCGGTGCGGGATGGCATGGCTTGAGCGGACAACTGGCCGCAACGGCGGTAGATATATCAGCTAAGTGCCCGCCACCCCCCCTGTGGTGCGTGAAGCGGCCAGGGTGGCGGGAAGTGAGGTGGTTGCGGCCAAAGCGGGGGTGGTGGTCGCGGCATCCACATTTGGTGGAGCTGAGGGACAACATGTGCAGCGGGCTGGGGGGTGCACGGGGCAAATGCAGCGGGGTGCGGCGCCACGCTCCAGCCGCGCTGCACGCCGCTGGCGCTGCCCATGTACGCGCGCGAGCGGAGCCGCGGGTCTTCGGCCGATGCGTATGCGCCGCTCGGCTGCCAGCGCTGCTGGAGCGTGGGCGGCGCAACGGACGAGAGCGAAGGCCGTGCCCAGACCTTCTCCACACCTCCGAGCGGCGAGGCGGCCGCTGCGAGGAGCGACGGGCGGAGGTCCATCTGCGGCCGTGCGGGGTCATACTCCTCGTGCTCGCCTGCAGGGACATGTCCAGGACACGTCCGAGACAGGTCACGAGCCATGTCCGCCGATGTGGCAGGCACGCCTGCGCCAGGAGCAAAGCCCCGCGTGCTGTCGCTCCCGCCGCCGCCGCCGCCGCCAGCGCCGCCGCCGCCGCCGCCGCCAACGGCGTCAACGGCGTCAACGCCGCCAATGCCGCCAACGCCGCCAACGCCGCTGCCGCCAACGCCGCCGCCGCCGCCGCCGCCGCCGCTGCCGCCAATGCCCCCGGCTCCGGATCCCGCCCCCCTCAGACGGACTGCCTTCGTCGGCCCGTTCCGCCGCCGCTCCGCGCGCCACCGCGCCACCGAAGTGTGCGCGTCCTCGCGGGCCCGCCTGGCCGACGCGGACGCGAGCTCACCAATCGGGGGCCAGGTCGACGTGGGGGGGTCGGGCAGCCGCGGCGGCTGGGGCGCGCAAGCCCACGCGCCGCCCCTGCTCCCTCCGTGCCGGCCACTGCTCCCTCCGTTACCATTGCCCCCTCCCAGCGCGGCGGCAGCGGCTGGCGCGGCGGTACCGCCCGGCGCGGCCACGCCGGCTGGCGCGGTGGCAGGGGAAAGCGCGGGTGCCGGTGAGCCATCGGACTGTGCGAGGCTGCTGCCGGCAACCTCGGTGGGCGTGGGGTCGGGCGCGGCGGGAGGGGGATGGAGGCCCGCCGCCGCGGCGCTGAGAAAGTCGAAGCTGCCGAGGAAGTCCGAGGCGCTGAACCCAGACGGCGCTGCTGCTGCTGGAGGTGGTGCTGCCGCCGCCGGTGGTGCTGCCGCCGCCGCCGGTACTGCCGCCGCCGCCGCCGTCGGCACGGGCCGCGCGCCGGCGCGCCGGAAGCGTATCGCATAGTCCTCCCTCGCGGCTTCCGCCTCCGGCTCGCCCCGATGAAACGGCTGCAGCTGGTACCCAGCTGGCTGGTACCCGTCCCATACGCCGCCCCATGTCGGCGGCGGCGGCAGCTGTGGCGGCGGCGGCGAGAGTGGCCGGGGACGCTTCTTTCCCTGAGCGGCGCGGCCCGTCGCGTTGCCCAGGCCGCACCGGTGCGCTTGCATCGCAATCTGAATGCCGTGCGTGCGCGCGCTCTCCGCCTCCCTGCCGACGCCGCCACCCGGCCGCCACCCCATACGCGCCAGCATGCGGAACCCGCGGTTCTCGGCAGTGAGCTCGGGCGCCGCGTTCGCAGCTGCTATCGCAGCCGCGGGCTGCAGCAGCGCCGCCCCGCTGGCCACTGACGGCGCTGCACGCTCCGACGGCGCGGCACGCTCCGCAGCCTCAGCGAGCCGCCGCGCCTTGGATTGCTTGTTGTTGGCCTTGGCTTGCTTGTTGTTTGCCTTGGCTTGCTTGTTGTTTGCCTTGGCTTGCTTGTTGTTTGCCTTGGCTTGCTTGCTTTTTGCGAGCCGCAGCGCCTTGGCCTGCTTCTTGGTCGGCTGGGCGCCGCCGACCACCGCCTCGATCGCCGAGTGCAGCTGCGCCTGCTGCTTGCGCGTCAGCCCCTGCGTACTCGCCTTTGCGGCCCGTTTGGCAGTGGGCAAGGAGAGGTGTGGCAGCCCGGCGCGCGTGGAAACCACCTGTCCATAGTGCATAGTCCACACCTGACCTTCTTGGTTCTTCTGGACGGAGCGGCCATTGTCCAGCTTCCACTGTGTCGAACTGCCGCCGCTCTCGCCCACAATGTTTGCAGCGTCTCCAGCACACATACCGCACTTGTCCACGCGCATCACGATGTGCCGTGCACTGCTGGAGGCGGCCATGATACACGATAGCCAGACTCCTGGCCTTCGCGAGCTCACGCGGGCCACCGAGCAGGAAGGACGGGGCGGCTCGCGGGGCGCAGAACGTAAAATTCTTTTTCAGGGACTTGGCTGTAAATTCTTTTTAAAGAAGGAGCAAGTGGTGTGTGTGACAGGTACTCACGAGCTAAGTGCCTCGCCGCCCTCGCGGGAGTCGCTTAGGCGGCGATGCCAGCCTGTCGCTCAACCAATGTCGCTCCTTCCACCCGTTCGCCGTTCCGCGCTGATTTCAGCAAGTGCTTCATTCGGCCTCCATCGGGCTGCGAGGAACCCGAGGTTGAAGTGAGTGTGCACGTGTTAAGAATATTGTGCGCGCGTCGTGCTGTGGCGCAGTCTCTCTCTTCATATTACAAAAATGCGTGTGAGCGCATTCAAAGCTTCCAGAAAACCACATCAGCAACCCCTTAGGCGGCGGCTCGCCCGGACACCTACTGGCACGGCCCCTGACCGGCGGACCACCCGCCATTGCGGCGCGGTTAGTAGACGCGCTTGACAGTGAACGCCATCATGCGCCAGATAGGCATGCATCAGAGCCGGCCCCAAGGGTCATCGTTTCCAGCACTGCCCCAGCCACCGTTTGAGCCCTGTCCAGCGGCGGCGTTTCCACCCCAGCCGCCGCCGTTTGCAACCGGCGCCGGTGCCGGTGACTCCCAGCCATCACCACCTTCAGCGGCACCCCATCCATCGCTGGACGAGCCTTGGCCGGAGTACGTGTCAGCAGCCTGATCACCGTAACCGCCAGCGTCATCCTGGCCCCAACCAGCGCCGCCGCCGCCGGTGGCCTGGCCCCAGCCGCCGCCGCCGGTATCATCCTGCCCCCAGCTGCCGCCGTCGCCGTCAGCGCTGCCACCGTTCGATCCCGTGCGGTACACGTTCCAGCCGCGCTTGTCCGTAAGGGTGAGCTCGCCGTGGAGCATCTCTCCAACCCCGCCGAGCATGCCTTCTGACGCTGGGCAGCACGCGCACACAGCCCCGTTTGGAGCAGTCGCGCCAAAGGCGAATGTCTCTCGTACCGAGAAGACCTCGCCACAGTCTCCGGTTCGCTGGTACGCCAGCACGAGTGCCTCGCACTCATTGCCCTGCATCGTGCCCATGAGCTTCGACTTCAGCGTCTTCGGGATCGGCGAAGGGCCTGGGCAGCCACCGAGGACCTGGATCCACTTGTCGTGGCCAATCTCGTAGGCGGTCATCGTCGAAGCGGCGATGAGGTGGAACATGGTCACGAATGAGGAGGTCCGTAATAAAGACGGACCTCCTCAAGGCGCCTCTGTGCCTCAGCTGGCACAAAAAGAATTTAGACACGACAACTCTCTCTCACAGCCTGGAATGCGAGGTGGCATGAAGGTCGCTGCAAGAATTGGTGATAAACTGCGGAGAGAGATAGGAAGTGGTAGACGCCCGAGGGTGGGCGACGGCTAACACCACACTTCTCCCCTAAAATCCCTGTGTGGTGGCGGCGTACCGTCCTCCCATCCCTCCCTTGGGTTGCCTGTTTTCTTTCTTTTTTTTTCAGCACACAGGCTCGACACAGGTGCGAACTGGCGCGTGCTAGTACTATCACCGGCACACCACCGGAGCCGCCTAAGCGACTCCGTTAAGAACGGCAATGCACTTAGCTCCGTGCACAATGCCGCTGTCCCCGCACGCTAGCTCGTTCACCGTCTGCCACGCCACGGCGGTGTGGAGAACGACAGACAAGCGCTGCATCTGCAGCCCGTGCCAGTTCTTGGTGGTCCATGTGACCTCATCGAGGTGCTGAGCGTGCGAAAGTTTGTTACTCAGCTGGTCCGCCGCCTGCCGAAGAATTCTGCGGACGCCGTCCCCGAAGCCGCCGAACGTCTCGAAGTCGAGCAAACGCAGGTCGCAATTCTTCTCCCGCGCGAACCGGTACTCGCCCTTCTCGTAGCGGGCCGTCACGGGTGCCCCCGCCTCCGCCTCCCCCTCACTCTCCCCCTCCTCCTCTTCCGCCGCCGCCGCCTCCGCCTCTGCATCCTAGGCGCGGAGGGCGGTGGCGTTCACCTCGGGATCGTCGCTGGCACAAAAAGAAAAAGCCCGCAACTTGCACAAACGGTTGTTTTGCGTGCATAATGTCTCCACAACGTGCCCGCTACAACCTCGATCTCCCTCTCCTACACAGCTGCGCCCAGCAGCTCGTCGATCCGCGAAGGGACCTCGGCGAGCGAGCGAATCACGTCGCTCGCAGGCACGCCCCGCTCCGCCGCCGCGTGTGCCGCCTTTCCGTCCGGTCAAAGAGGAGCGCGTGCATGCCGACCGCCCTGGCCGCAAGGTAGTCCTTCTCGAGGTCGTCCCCGACGTGCAGCACGCCAGCACCTGAGGTCAGGTGAGGTCCACGTCTCCACACACGCGAGGTGGTGGGGCAAGGGCCGGGCTAGTCCCTCGCGACTCCACGTCTAGAAAGCCAGGAGATTTACGGCGTTCAAAGAACAAGGCTCGGTGCGCGTGGGTGAGCGGTGTGAGGGTGTGTACTGTGTGGACCTGCCCTCGGGGCGACGTCCGGCTGCGTGCGGCCGTGGAGCAGCCGGTTCACATGCGAGGCCTTTCGCGCCGCCGCGTCGAAGTTGAACTCGCGTACGGTATTCCGCGTCCTCACCTAATTAATTGATTAATTAATTGCGTATGGTATTCCGCGTCGGGTAGGCTTCAGGGTGGTGCTCCACGCGAAAAGGAATCGATGCGATGTGCAAAGCATACAAGAAGAGGAGAAAGAAGAGTAGAGGTCGAACTCACACCACGAGGCGCCGCCGTTGCCGTCGAGGGGCCTCAGGTCCTTGCAGTCAGGCGGTGCTGGGAGGAGGCTTCCGAGGACGGCACCACCGGCCAGCAAAACATTCTCCCAGAGCTCTGCATCCCAGTCGGCAAATAGCCCCCAGGTGAAGTGCTGGAGCTGCGCGCGGAAGGTGCTCTCATCGACGGGCCCTCCGCTCCGCGCGGCATCGTAGCGAGCCCGTTCGCCCACCTCGCCGAACAGCTGCTTCGAGACCGGAATCGCCTTTAGCAGCTTGGAGAGCTCCTTCTTCTGTGGCGGTTTGAGAGCGCACTGAGTCTCATCGTCAAATAACTGACTATAGCTATAGACGGTTTGGCCGGCGATGTGGCGCCGGGCCCGCCCTCCAGGGCGTGGCACGTCTAGTGCCAGCGACGCAAACAGCAAGTGTTTTGCGACGGGTAGTGTTGGGACCAACACGACGCCGATCGTTGAAATTAGCAAGCTAGCAAGCAACCACTCACACACGCCTCTCTGCCGTGAGTGCCGCTCTGCCGGAAGTGTGTTTTCTTTTTTCAGAAGTGATTTTTACAACAAAACTCCCTCGCACGACACTGGCAGAGTCTCTCGGGAGATTTTCTTTTTTCATTTTTTTCCACTCCGCAAAGTCCAAAAAACCAAATCTTAGTTCATGTTAACGGTCAGGCTCAGCCCTGGGCTCAGAGATCAGAGTCAGTGGCACGCACGTATGTATGGCAGACGGATGGAGGCTCTTGACGTCCCCATCATCACTGCTGCGCCGACCCACGTGTACAGGGCCACAGACAGCGTCTAAGTTGACGGGTTGGAGGGAATCCCCGCCCGTGCCGGGAACAGTTCGTCCGAGTCATGCGGGAGCCAGGTGTCCCAGCTCGCGTCAAATCCGAGGAAGCGCACCTTCGCCTTGCGTGCGCGGACCGCGATCACCTTGGCTTCCCACCTAGCAGTGGGGTGGTCTGGCGGCGCCCATGCCACCTCCACCGCCTCACCCTTGGTCCGCTTCGTCGAGCGCCACAATGCGGAGGGCCGCTCCTCGTAAGGGCGCAGCTGCGTGAGTGGCCTCCACTCGTCTTCACCCTCGTCCTCGTACCCGCGATAGCGCACGAGCACCAGCCCGTTGACGGCGCTGAACGCCAGCGCGTCGGCCTGCCACCACGCGTGGCGCATCTCGTCCGCATTGTCGAGCTTGTTGTCGTCCGCCCACCCCTTAGCCTCGAGCCCGTCGCGCCCGCCGAGTAATGCTCGGTAGAGTGCCTGCCAGTCGCGCTGAACGCCGGGCAGGGCACCCTGGAGGCGAACCCGGCGGCTGAGCGCGGAGCACCAGAGCTGAGCGCGGTGCCGCGTGTACACCTCCAAGAGCGCAGCGCAGGCGGCGGCGCACGCCACGAAGCTGGCCGGCGGCGCGCTGGCTGCGAGGTGCTCGAGCACGAGGGCGTGTATCTCGGCGGGCAGACCCATCAGCCGCTGCACGCGCCGTCCCTGGATGAGCTTGTGCCTGGGCCGCGTCCTTGACGCCGTCGCTGGTTGTGCCTCTCTACTCCCTTCTACGGCTGCATTCGACATCTCGACCGCCTGGCGCCCCGCGTACTCGTCCTCCGCTGCATGGGCCGCAGCCGATGCCTCCTCGCCAAGATGGCGCGCGTACAGCAGCGCTCCCTCCTCCGCCGTCGCGGCGTAACCGAGGTACTGCTTTGCACCGCGCACCCCTTTGACGGCCACGAAGCCGTTGCCTTTCGATTTTGCGCACACGCCTTCGAACCCGCTTTTGGAGCGCGACGAGCGCACCAGTGTCAAGCCCTCTGCCGCCGCTGCCTGCTCCGCCTCCGCCGCCGTCATAGGCTCGGCCGCCGCCCCTGCCGCCGCTGCCGCCGCTGCCGCCGCTGCTGCGGACGCCTCCGCTCCCAGCTTGCGCGCGTACAGCAGCGCTCCCTCCTCCGCCGTCGCGGTGCAGCCAATGTGCTGCGTTCTACCATCACGCCTGCGCGTCACGTTAAAGCCTCTCCCCTTCGATTTTGCGCACACGCCTTCGAACCCGGTGCTGGAGCGCGACGAGCGCACCAGTGTCAAGCCCTCTGCCGCCGCTGCCTGCTCCACCTCCGCCACGGTCATAGACTCGGCCGCCGCCCCTGCCGCCCCTGCCGCCGCTGCTGCGGACGCCTCCGCTCCCAGCTCGCGCGCGTACAGCAGCGCTCCCTCCTCCGCCGTCGCGGTGCAGCCAATGTGACGCGTTCTACCATCAACCCTGCGGCCCACCACAAAGCCGATGCATTTCGAGTTTGCGTACACGCCTTCGAACCCGCTTCTGGAGCGCGACGAGCGCACCAGTGTCAAGCCCTCTGCCGCCGCTGCCTGCTCCGCCTCCGCCGCCGTCATAGGCTCGGCCGCCGCCGCTGCCGCCGCTGCTGTGGACGCCTCCGCTCCCAGCTCGCGCGCGTAAAGCAGCGCTCCCTCCTCCGCCGTCGCGGTGCAGCCCTCTGCCGCCGCTGCCTGCTCCGCCTCCGCCGGCGTCATGCACCACAAGCAAGACACTCGGGGAAGAGACACTGTTGGCCGCGATCGATTTCTTTGAAAAAAAGTCCTTCGCGTCGGGGCCGCCACCGTATGGACCCGCTCGGAATAACCTGGGGGGGGCGGGACCGCCCCGCCGGAGGCTGGAGTACCCGGAAGGAGGAGCTGGGGGAGGGGAGGGGCCGGGAGGAGATAGCGGGTCAGCCGACGGACCGGAAGGCCGGGATCGGAGGACCCCGGGTGAGGTCTGGAGTCAACTGTCGGAGGAGGAGAGAGACGAGCTGACGCGGCCTCTGCGAGTAGAGTCGGGCCGTGCGAGCCCACCGGGGGTAGACCCGTCGCGGCGTCGACTGGACCGCCGGGATTTACGACAAGAGGGACCGTGCCCCCCCGAGCTTAGTGAGGAGCCGGTGGAGGGGGAGGGCGAGCCGAGAACGATAGAGAGGCCGCGGATGCGGGCGCGACTCGCCGACCTGGGAGAGCCGGCTCGACCTCCCTGGGAGGCGCGGCGAGAGGACCCATTGTGGCCGCATTCACCTGGGGAGACCTCTGCCGGGCCGTCGACGCCCTCGGAAGCGGTGGAGTCGGGAGAAGCTGGCGGAGATGAAGGGCGGCAGCGGAGAAAGCGACATCAACAACGAGGGAAACGACCATACCGGTCGTCGCATAACGCTCGGGAGACGAGCAAGAGGGCGAATCAAGGAGGGCCGGGACCCTGGGAAGGCGAGGGGTGAGCCCTCAGGCAGGGGGGTCTACTCGAACGTCTACGCAAGTGAGTGTAGAGGGGTGGTGTGGGGCGTGCAGCGTAGTGTTCATTAGCTCCGAGTAGAGGGGGCGTCCTGCAGTTAAGGGGAAACCCGGTACGCGGGGCTAACCCTCGGAGACCTGTGTTTACTTTATGGCCCTCTTCCTGCGAACGCGCACCCCCCCTAGGGGTCAGGGCTCTCTAGCCCGTAGCCCGATCCCGATCATCCGGCCCGCTGGGTGCGCTTCTCAGCTCCCCGGCCCTGGATGTGAGGCTAATGACTGCACTCCAAGTGCTCCAAGTGCATCGTTCGTGCGGCAACAGTCGATGGTTTGCCGTGAAAACGGCATGAACGGCTCAAATCACCCCGAGAAACCCTTCGGGTCACTCCCTCATCGCAAACAAACCCTGTCAGCAGTCCTCCTCCGGGAATGTACGTAAGAGCCACATACGAATTCCCTATATTGTTTTTTCCAGGTGGGTAAAGAGGGAGATTCGCGCGAGCTGCGGGACCGGCGGGACGGCGGCGGGTGATTGCGATACTCGCTTAAGTGTGGGTAAACGAAAGTTACCGTATACGGTACTAGGGAGGGGGGGAAGTAATCTGAAACTGCAACGATGCATGGGACGAGAGTGGCGTCGCCTCGCCGATCGCTTCAACGAGAGGTTCGGTCGAGCTTGGAGACGTTTACTTGATTTCTTCTTGCACCAACACGCCATAGACTTTTACTTGATTTGCACCACGCGTGCCTCCCTCCTTGGATGTGACATTCAGGTGGAGCCACACCTCATCGTGCGAAGGGGCGCGCCCAATGAAGCGGAGACAGTGCTGCGACGAGCTCGCGTTCCAGCGGAAATCGACCCGAGTGGTCGCGGCGGTAAAGCGCGTCGCGTTGTGCTGTCTGATGAAGGGGGGTCGGTCGGGGGTCGTCTCGCCATCTCCCCCTCCACTAGATCGCGCAGCCTCAAGGCGCGCAACAGCACTCCCCACGTTCTCATAGGAGCAGAGCGCCTCGAGGACTATCATCCGTGGCACTTTGGCAGCGCCCAGAGCCACGACTAGGCTGCTGCCGTCTGCCACAGCGCGCCATCCTGGCTTGGCGTGCCCCCGGCCTTCGTTGCTTGTGACTGTATGCAGCATGAATCCAATGGCTTCTGCGGGCTTCAGCCCAGGGCACGTCTGATCCGAATAGCTGCAGGCGAGGCATTTCCACGCCAGATCACCCTTGACTGCTGATCGAGACGGCTGCCAACGAAGCGGCGGCAGATGCGGAGGAACCCTCGGCTCAGGCATGCTGCCTGACGTCCATCTTGGCCTCAAGCTGCGTATCGTGCGAGCAAGCAGCGTGGCAAGAGCGGCATGTCCCCAGGGGGTCGGGTGCCAATGGCCGGGCATCGAGTGGTTGAAGAAAGGGTGTCCCTGAATGGGGTGCATGCCCCAGATGGAGCGCCCAACAACACAGCCAGTCGGCATGTAGTAGCTCGTCACGTCCCGGAACAAAGTCTCGCAACGACCTTGGTGCTCGCATACCGCGAGCACGATGACGAGTGGCGGGTGTCGCCGCTCGTGCTGCGACAGAAGCACGCGAAGCAGCCGCTCCATAGACTCCAACGCCGAAAGCCCAACTCCACCGGCGGTGGCAATGGGCGTCGAGGAGAGCGCGTCGTTGAAATTGTACTCAATCACCACCACATCGAGTGAGCGCCATTGCGGCATCACCATCTCAAGACAAAGCGATGGCGTGCTCACACCGGTCGACGGTACCGCTCTATTTATGACTGTGGCGTTGAGCTCCCGTGCTAGAAGTGTGGAGTATCGCTCCGCAACGCGATTCTTCTTGAGTGTTGCGCCCCAGCTGATGGAACCGCCCAGCACACCGATCTTCAGCCGCCAGTCGAGAGAGGGTCCAGCCGGCGGCAGGACGAGTGACGGCCACCGCTGTGATGGCGGCGGTGGGGGCGGCGACGATGCTGGCGCCATAAGCATATCCGCAGACCTTTGTGATGGCGTTCTTTTGTTTTTTTTTTATACCAAAAGGAGGGCTACACGACGCCCTCTACGCTGGGGTGCCGGCGCCCTACTGGGCGCCCCCCGCTCCCTTCCCCTCAGAGCCCCCCATCCCACTAGCATTCCCCCGCGGTCCCTCGCGGTCGCGCGACGCCGCACCAATGGCGCGCTGTGCCTCGTCCGCGAGCGCCACCCAGAGCTGCACCGACAGTCGCTGCAGCGCAAACGGCATCCATTCGCGCGCCGACCACGACGTCTGGTCGTACTGCCACCACGTGAGCTTCCGGCCCGCCACCTCAGCCACCCGCATCAGCAGCTCCTCCACAGGGGTGTGTGATGTGCGGTGCGGGGTGTGAGGGGGCAACGTCTTTGTGTGTGTGCGCGCGCCGCCGCCGCTTGTGATCTGAACTGAGAGGGGGGGGGGGGGGGGGCTTGAGAGCTTACGGGGGGTCTCCCCGCGCCAGAGGCTCTGCCTCTCCTCTCGGGATTGAACTGAGGGATGGGGGCGGGGATCCTCCCTCTTCCCGCCATCGATGCCGGGGCTCAACCAATCCGGAGAGGTCCTTACCATTCCTCCCCATACATCCTCCCGGCTTCATCGGCGGGCGTCTGGGAGTGTGTCGTCAACTGACCGGTGGTCTTTCAGTGTGGTGGGGTGGGTTTCGTGACCGTTCATCGTCGATGCCGCCTGACTTACCTGTTCCCCGCTGGCGCGACCCCGCGCCGGCCAGCGGAGCCATTGCCCGCTCAGTCACCACCCCGGCCGGCGCGACGCGATCCGATCGGCGCCGCCACCGACGGAGCCGCCGGCACGGAGTGGATTCTCCGTCGTTGCCGGTCGGGGTGCTGGTCGGGACATGGGCGGCGCGACCACTGCACCGCTTCAATGGCCAGAGACCAGGTCAGTGCAGGTGGTCACACCGCCCCGCCCTGCGTCGCCCGCCGCCGCGCCGCGCCGCCGGTCTTGCAGTGTGGTGGCGTGGGGTGTCGTGACCAATACTACGGAATACGTGTGTGTGTGTGTGTGTGTAGCAGCAGCAGCAGCAGCAGCAGAGGAGCTCCAGCGCCGCCGCGCCGCCGCCGCCGCCCGCGCGCCGCCGCCCGCCCGTGCGCTGCTGCAGCTCCCTCTGCCGCCGCCGCCCGCCTCCGCAGCGCCCTCGAGCCCGCGGACAAAAGCAGTCATATATCATGAGCTGCCTCTCCAGAGCGCACAAGACTGCATGGCTCTTGTGTTGCCTCCGCCTCGCCACCCGATCGAGGATCGTCCGCCCTCCGCTCACCGCCGCCGCTCCCGGTGACGGCAGCGCCGGCTGTGGGGCTCTGAAATGTGAAGATTGTCACCGGCGGGCCCGTAGGACGGTGCTCGGTGGCGACCCAGCACTGTCGGTGTTGTACAGTTATAGAGCCGTACGTTAACACTGCGCCGGGGGGTATGCCTAGAGCCGTAACTTTGGTGCTTTGTGTGGGTCGCGTTCCCTTGGTAGCTGTGTGGCTGAAGCCCTCGTGCCGCTGGCTTGCCCCTTCCAGCGGCTGGCCCCTCGAGAATGTGTCGCCGTTCGTCTGGGCACGCTATCCTGTGCAGTCAGGGCAAGTGGGGGCGGGGTGGACAGCCCAGGAGCGTGCCCTCGGCTGGGATATCTCTCTGCCCAGTCCGGGGGTGCGCGTCGAACCTTCCATCACCCTGGGAACGTCCGGGTGTTGGAAGTAAAGATATTTATTCATTTGTTGTATAGAGCCGTAACGAACGACACGCACACCACAGGGAAACACTGAAACACATGTCCAAAGCGCGCGCGACTCGCCCCCGCCGCTAAAGCTCAGACAGCAGAGCGGGGGGGCACTACTCGTCCTATCAGGCGGAAGACGGGCCGGGCGTGCGCTGAGTGGCGCGCTAAGGACACGGCACAGAGCACCCCGGGCCCCGCCGCGACGCGGGGGCGACCCCGCGCAGCGCAGCGAGGGGCGCGGCGCTTGGGACAATGCTGCTCGGTCTACTGCGGCATGCACGACGAGGGGGGACGGGAAGAGAGGGGGGGCGTTTAGGCCGTCTCGGACTTGGCCTTGAGGTCGGTGAGCTTGTCAGAGACGGAGGACTTGACCTCGTCCACCTTCAGTACGGGCGGGGAGCTCGGGGTTGGAAACCACACGGGTGTGTGCTCGGCGTCGAAGAGAGGCGAGGCGAGGCGAGGCGAGGTGAGGCGAGGAGAGGTGTGGCGAGGAGTGGTGTGGAGAGGAGAGGAGAGGCGAGGAGAGGAGACTTGCGGGGTCTCACCTTGGCGGTGGCCTTGTCGATCGCCTGCGAGATCTTGAGCTGGTCGTCGATCTTGGCGGTGATGCCGTAGTTCTTGTCGAGGTTGGCAGCGGCGGTGGAGGCGGTGTCGAGCGCGGTCTTCGCCTTGGGCACGAGGTCGTACTGCTCGTTGAGCTCCAGCATTTTGGAGTAGACCTTGGCCGCGACGGTGCCCGTCGACTTGCTGATCTCGCCTGGCCGCGGGGAAGGTGGAGGCAGGCGGAGTTGGTGGAGGCAGGCCGAGCCGGGGGGAGAGGCCGAACGCGGGGGAGACGCCGGAGGGGGCGATGGCGGACGCGGGGAGGGGCCCCGAGGGACGAGGGGAGGGGCGGGGTGGCGAGGGACGAGGGCAGCCAGCGGCCAGCGAGAAGGAGGGAGGAGGGCGGCCCACCGAATTTGTTCGACAGAGTCGCACCGTAGGCGAGAGCGACGGCGAGCAGCACGCCCTACGGAGGCGAGGCGACGGTGGGTATGGGCGACCGGGGCGGGGGTCACGGGCGGCTGGCGGCGCGGTGGCGGCGGTGGCGGCGGTGGCGGCGGCGGCGGTGGCGGCGGCGGCGGTGGCGGCGGCGGCGGTGGCGGCGGCGATAGGATTTGTGGTCCCAAATGCCACAGCATGACGAGGGCGTGGCGTGGGCGTGGGCGTGGTGCGGCGCGGTGCGGATGGATCGGAGCCAGAGCCGTCGTTGCGAGCAGCGCGCCGGCGGTGCGGCGGACGCGTGGCGGCGTGGGGAAAGTGTCTCGGAAGCGTCCCGCACCGTCGAGAGCTCGTGGAAGAGGTAGACGCCGATGATGCCGCCGGCGGCCGCAGCGCCGATGACAATCGACTTCCCCTCAGGCTCCGCCATCATCGGCGCGGGCGCGACGCGCGACACCGCGAGCCGCGACTGCATCGCAGGTGCAGGCAGCGGCGCGACGAGCGCAGACGCGGCGGCGAGAAAGCCGAGGAGCAGCACGAGGCGAGCCATGTGGACCTGTTTGGCAGGGGCAGGGGCGGTCGGCCGGACCGATCACGCGGGCGGACAGCGCGCGCGGCGCGGCGTCGGCGGAGCAGAGAGGCACAGGCGCGGCACAGCGAGCTCGCGGCCCGCAGACGCCGCCAGCGCGCCGGCGTGTCTGCGAGCCGCCCCGGCTAGCCGCAGCCGAACGGTACGGCTGTGTCGCCAGGCTGATTGTGCGGCGACGCAGCTGGGGGCGTGTTGCGCGGGGAAGGCTCTTGAAGGTGATTCCAGCAGACCTCAGAGGTGCCCGAATCACCAAGACCTCGAATTCGCAAAAAGAAGAAATCGCCGCGTTTGAACTCATTCAATCCACGTTCCACGAGTTCTTTGGTATTTATTGCTAAAATTGGCGATTGCAACCTAACAAGGCCAACGTTGGACGCCGCGTACTCCATATCGTTGCGGACTCTGCCGCTCAGCAGCGCCGGCGATCGATGATTCGGAACCCTCACAGCTTATTGCAAGAAATTCACGATTTATTTATTTTTAAGAGCAGCCAAGGAGAGCGGAGTTACGCCGAGAGGCGAGAGAAGCCGCGCGAGAGCAAGGGATCGGCAGACGGCAGCGGCGTCGCAGAACGAGGCCAGAACGAAGCACCGGCATCGGTCGGGCCCGCGGCGCGGGCAGCGGCGCGGACAGCGGCGCGCGCCTCAACGGCGGCCTTGCCATGCGAGCCGCACGTGTGCGGCCTGTGCCTCCCCTTGCAGGCAGGGCACTCGGCGGAAGACGGCTTTGGGGCCGAGTCCGCCTGCTCGCGAGGCGCAGACAGAGGCGGCGTGCGACAAGCAGCCGCGAGAAGATCCTCGGAATCGGAATCGGAGCCCGTGCCGCCACCCTCGCCACCCTCGCCGGCCGCTTGCGTTGCCGACTTTGGAGGCGAGGAAGCCGGCGAATCGCGTAAGTCGTTCTCAACCATGCTGGTATCGATACGACGCTGGTATCGAGATGACGGTTACAAGAGCGGGTGTCCTCGCACACACACACACAGGTATTCTGTAGTATTGGTCATCGACACCCCACGCCACCACACTGCAAGACCGGCGGCGCGGCGCGGCGGCGGGCGACGCAGGGCGGGGCGGTGTGACCACCTGCACTGACCTGG